TTGTCAATCTGATAAAGCATCAGTCAAAGACATATCAGAATCGATAAAATCAGAATTCATAAATAGCAAGGTCAGAGTTCAGTTCAGGTGAAGAAACAGCCAGGACACATATTTAAATAACGACCACACAATTCTGGATAAAACCAACCATATTCCAGGTCAACAGAACAAGCTATTGGTCAATCGTGAAGAAAATCTAATAGCTCGCTTCTCTTTGACGTACTTACTATGTTGTTCAGAAGAACAATAAAAGCTGCACAACTAAACCACTCAGATCAGTGACTACAAAAGCTCCAAAAGTTTTATATTACAACTACAGCTTGATAGAAGAAGTATTTTGAAGAGGTCACAAATAATCACAGTTCTACAACGCTACTGTTCACAAATCCTTCTTACGTATCAATCCCAGAGCCAATCAAACCGACAGTCGAGGGTGATGGGATGCGGAAATATGTCTGAATTATGGGTTGAGGTATATCAGTGTATGGAATCCAGGTTGACCAGTTGTCATAAGAGATGCGCAGCACGATCTACCCAGATGTTATGTTGCAGATGCTCAACCAAGTCTCCACAGTTAGAGCCGTGTACAGGAAAACTAATAAGTTTAGCATCAATGTCGAAGGCTTACAAAGCTATTTATCGTATGAATTAACTTATCACTACAATTTCTTTTCAGTTGTCTTCTGGTCATGGCTCCATTCCGCTACATAGCTTTATATTTGGATATAAAAACTAATCTCAATTAAATGAGCTCAGACATTCATTTGTGAAATCTACAGACGTTTGCCTTTCACTGATCTTTTATTGCATACTTCAGGTACACAATAAGGACCATTAACAAACTTCAATCCGTTTCAGTAACTGAAATATTCTAATCCAGACATTAAATAATTATTTACGTCTGATTTAATTTCTACACTTCCGATATCTTACTAATATCTAATACAACTTTTAGAAAAGTCATTGCGAAGACTTTCAATAATATAGATTACTAACATTTTGGTTGAGAAAGAGAGCAAGGTGAAAATTAAAAAAGGCCAACAAAGAAATATTCAATAACCACATGCTATCTACTTTATATAAGAAATAAATCACAATAACATACAAGGATAAATAAAAAATGAATTTTTTTCATCCATTTTTTTATGAATCAAGTGTCATATTATATATAGTGGGTTGGAGAATGCTGTTCGGCGGCCTATGCTCCATTAGGAATAACAGGCGTAAGTAAGTAAGAACTTATTGATCGTACCAGCGACGCATAAAACCCGTACGAGCAGTCTGGAGTTCTTACTGGCCGTGCTTCCCACCTAGCCCAAGCAGTTAAGTCCAGAACACCAATCTCAGCCTCTGCGATATGAATCACTTATTTCAAACATACTGGGTTTATATACTGACCAGACAGACCACATCATACCATAAAGTATGAAACAACATTTGTACAAGAACTAGCCAAATGTGGCTGTGAATGAGAGAGGTAGTAATTAATAAACAGGGCATAATTCAAGGATGGTAGATCGTATAATAATAGCTCATAGGTTAAAATAAAGCTCATAATAAGAGGGACATGAATATGAAAAGTTTAATTACTTAACAATTATACGATATATATATATATATATATATATATATATATATATATATATATATATATATATATATATATATATATATATATATGCGTGTTAATTATACTAATAACAGAACAAAGGGACCTTCGTGCGATCTGTCTGCTTGTGCACCAATCGATAAACTCTGTAGTCGTTTTCGAATTATTGCTGTTGTCCACAAATTATTTATCAAATTATAATAACAGAAAATCAAGAAAAGGTTGAATGTGAAATGTATGGTTTTTCGAGAAGTTCTAGTAAGCTTATCAGTTTTAAATGAATTAATCACAAGCATTGTTGTCGATGTGTTCAAGTCATCATTTATAAGACCGTATTCACTACGCCTAACAGTTATCGAGTTGTGACCACCTTCAGTGATAACTAAATTTGACTGATCAAAAATTAAACAATTGTGTACTTTCATTCAAATATGCTTCTTATTTTAAAGCTAATTCTTTATGCTTAATGAAAAGTTATACATAACAAATACGCTAATAATTATAAAAATAGTAGGCAGAGACCATTCTAGTTATGGTTGAAAATAACAGGTTTATCGCACATAAATTCAGTTTATCAAAACAACGTTTTTCATCATTTCTTTCATAATCTACTCAGTCTTTTTACTACTAAAAAGTGACTTTCGTCGTTTTTCAAAAACAAAGAATGCTAATTAATGTATGTAAACATCCCACGTCAACAACAGTCAAAATTATTGACACAAAGATTGGATATAGTTCATCGGATAAGACTGTACTCTAGAGTAGCCTTCTAAAAAGTTACTTTCAAGAAATCTACCGACACATTTCAAAGCCCTGTACCAAAACCCAGGTAGTGTCCTTGATTTCAAAACTCGATAGTAAGTGTGAACATTTACTACTACAGATTGGCTTTCTTATCGATCTTCCAGAAACAACTATTTAGTGGATAGCGGTGGAAACCTGTTATCTGTAGTTTATTTATTTTAACACATAAATATTGATACAAGGAGGCACCAAATACATATGCGCCACACAAATCTCATTCGATATGTGTGAGGGCTGTGATACTGCCCGGGTGCCCAAACCGAAGCAGATGGTTTTCTTAGGGGGCCACTACCCGAGCCTTCGACCTGAAGGTCTGGTCCACAAGGCAGTGGAGCATCGTAAGGAGATGCAGTCCCATGGAAGCCGGTGACCAACAATTGGTTCATACGCCATTTGTTCCTGCAGGATACTGGAGCCCATGTGCACCATTGGTTTGGAATCCGGTTAAAGCGCCGGACATTCGCTTTTCGTCCTCTCATTTTTGTAAACAACACCCCCGCCACGAGAAGGCAGTGAGTAGGACTTCCCTGACAGAGGCTATATACGCGTGGCCATGTGAGAGCATCTGCAGACATTCTGACCTTCAGAATTAAGATGGCATCGTCTTGTTATGTTCATATAGAGACCGTACACGTAACCACGGACAGTATTATGAAGTACAGACTGTGCTTTAAGTGTTAAAATCAGTAAAAGTTCCTGTGCACAATCTCAGTAGTGAAGCGACTAGAAAAATTCAGTCAGTTGTGTTAGACGAGACTAGTCTACATTCAATGAAAGCTTGTGATATTTGTGGCATTATTCTAACTGGTAAAGGTAGTGTTTAAAATGTTTGCATGTGCACACCTATAATGATAACATGATTCCTCTGAACTGGACATTTGTGGGAGATGTATCTAACCCACATTATTTCTTATTATAGACACTAAGTACGGCAAGGGGCTCATCTTAAGACACAGGTGTTGTGGCTTTATTTCCGGCTTTGTATTACGTGATTTATTCACCAATCAAAATACGACCTATATAATCTTAACACTGTGCCAAACCAATGACGTTCGACCGGTATGGGCAGTCTAGCGTCCTTATTGGTCCTATGTTCGCCTAGCCCGTCCACTTGAGTCCAGAACACCAATACCAGCTCCCACTATGCGAATCGAGTCATTTAATTCAGACATACTGGGTTTACATATCAATCAAACAGACCGCAACGCACCATAAAATAGGAAATAACATTTGTACAAAATAAAGCTAAAAAGTGACTGTGAACGTGGGAGGCAGTAGTCAATAAACTGAACATAGCTTAAGAACAGTAAATCGTACAATAATAAATGATGATAGGTCAAAATGAAGCTTATAATAAGAGGAATATAAATATACATAATCTAATTATTGAATAGTTATACCATAAGAATGTATAGATAATATTAATCAATTAATATGTCTCAGAATTTGCTCATGATTTAATTTTCGCTCGGATGTAACAACAGGTACCTGAAGCTTCCGTCTATAACCCCAACGGTGGTTGCATATAGAGTACTATTAACTGTCACCGAGATTGATTAGAAGTAAAAAGGTTACTTCATTATATGACCCAATTGGATAAAGGATAGTTATACTGAAGTATGATCTGGCAATACTCGATACCTTATCACAATGATCATGCCTCCCAGTAGCCTGAAACAATCAAACATGACTCCAAATTGAAATAATTAGTAGTTTATACATACATTCAACACAGACACTAAAAGCGGATTTCTTTGCAAGACTGTAGATTTTCTTTGGGTGATGAAACTTCCAGCATATAAGTCATACCATGCTTTCTACATCCTTAATGATAAAAAAATACTCAGTTTACAAAAAAAAATAGAAGGTAAGCCGATGATTTACATGAGTGATACTGGCTAGTGAAGAAGCAGGTCGGAAGAAACCTAAGGGAGACTAAACCGAAACGTGACATCAATCTGTGGAGTTACTGACTGTGGGTCTGAGCCAAGTAGGAGAACTTAGACCATTTGGTTTGGGTCTGTATGATAACCACAATCAGTGCCTATAGACCTTGGGTGACATGGGTCAAGATCGTTCGCAATGGAGTAGACAGATTCACTGTTTTTCTTCCTTTCGATCTTGAATTCCGGTATCCCTTTCCACTCTACTTTTAAAGCTATATTCCCAATATTTAGTCTTTCGATTTATCACTGTTAGTACATTATTTCGATGTCTATTGTTATAATTACTTTGTCGCGTTAATCAGGTATGGCAACTTAAGCTGACGCACATCTGCGATTGGCTTTATGTTAATAATGTCTGCCAATTTATACTCAACAAAATTATTTATTGTTTAAACACATAAACATTGGTACACGTAGATACCAAATAGATATGCACCACGTAAATCATTCTATTTGCGTGAGGGCTGGGATACGTCCCAGTTGCGCAAACCGAAGTAGGTGGTTTTCTTAGGGGTGCACTTTCCGAGCCTTTGACCTAAAGGTCTAATCCACAAAGCAGTGGAGTAACACTAGGAGATGCAGTCCCATGGTAGCCGGTCAAAAACGACTAGTTCATACGCCGTTTGTTCCCTCAGAACACTGGAGCCCATGTGCACCATTGGTTTAGAATCAGGGTTTCCCAACTCCCCTAGGTGGATCAACCGTATCCACCAACCCTATTAAAGCGCCGGACACTCGCTTTTCGTCCTCTCAATTTCGTAAAAAGCACCCCCGCCGCGAGAAGGAAGACTTCCCTGACAGTGGTTGTATGCACGCAGCCATGTGAGAGCATTTGAGAGAGCTAACTCTCCCCACTCTTGGCCGTAACCAGGGCAAGAAATACTTTCCACATACAAAACTAATGTCCGGTTCATAAATCAAATGATGGAATAAACACTTAACAATGAATATTATGCACTAGTAACATATATGGATACGAATCCAGATTTTTAGCATTCCAGAGATCATTCATGGGGCAAATCATGTTTGACAAAATTTGTCTTTCCTTTTGGTTTCCTATTGACAAGCCGTGCTTCAACTAAAGACATAAACAATTCTAGATAGTGATAATTGCAGCAAGAACATACCATAATTAAATAACTTAATAGTGACTGACGCTGAAGATTTTCCATCCAACCTGTTATTTCATAAAACACCTATAATACAGAATAAATCTGTTATAGATAAATAATAAAAAACTACTAATTGGATGAATCTATTAGCGTAAAAATAGTGGAATGTTGAATTATAACAAAATCAAATGATTTCTTCCTCCACAAAAAAATAAAAATAATGTTTGTTAGTCAAAAAGTGCAACTAAACATCAAGAGATAAATAATTAATAGAATAAGTAAATTCAATGATAATATACACGACACAGTTGAATAGACAGTTTACGAAAAAATAAGTGCAATAACGATAGGATCCAAATATGAAAGAATAATAGGCACATAATCAAGCTAGTGTGAAATTTGATTACATTTTCTAAAATATAAGAAAAAAAACAAATAGCGAGAACCTGAAGACTTCTTCATACTGAATGTTTTATTTCCTGCATTCATTCGGAGGTAATTCATCAGATACAGACGTACAGAAATGAGTATGAAAAAGAACAGACTTCAATAATATCACAGGTAAAATATTTCTGAAATTTTTAGCACATTAGTATGTCATTTTTAGGAGAATAAGAGTAAATTTGTTCTAAAAGATAGGACAATATGAAGTGACAATGCTGCACTCCTAACCGCTAACAGTGATAGTCTCAGTATAAACCAGTTATTATATTTTGTGGCTTCATCGATAACACGAGATCAATGCGGTTTAATATTTTGTTTCATTATAATCACCTATACCATTTATAGTCGGTGAAATATATTTGTGTTTACTAGGTGGGATTAAGTGCCCTGGTAGAGTTTCTGGAATTTCACCACCGTTAACCGCTATGTTGACCAAACGCTTAGCAACAATGAATTCATCGATATCAAGATAACCGTCTTTATCAATGTCTGAAAGTTTCCATATACGACTTAATGTGATATTAGGTAAATGAGATTCCATCAATTTCGCTTTTAATCGTCCGCTTCCACAAAGGAGACCATCAACTGGTTGAAGACTTTCAAATTCCTAAAAACAAAAACAATACGAAGACGGATAACATTAAAAAAACTAGATAGAAATACTTTGAAAAAAATAATCAAAAACATTAAATATTCTAATTCGTTCCACGTCTGTATTACCACCTGCCCGATAGATTGACCTTAACTTGGTAATCAAACGTCTAATAATGGCACCAATAATATGCTAGCAAATCTTAGAATGTGTCAATAAAACAGAAACTTCTTACTGTCGGAGGAATCCTAAAACGACCCTCATCAAAATTTATAGAGACCCTGAAATACCAAAACACCAATCAGCGTTGAATAAAAACTTCGCATAAACATCTGGAAAATGCAGAAACACATGTCGCGATCTTGATTGGAGAGTTATCGATGCTGCTATATATAGTGTGGTTTCATAAGTTTCTGTAAGCCCAAGGTTACGTATAACTCTACAAATACCATCGTTTTTTCTGTACATAAATTAACTTTGGAATAAAGCTTTTACTCGCAATTCGCGTCGTTTCTTAATTGTTCCAGTTGACGTGTAGAAGTAGATAAGGTTATAAAAACCGGCTAGGAAAGTTTAAGGGTACTTGTAGCAAGATTTATTACTTACACTTGTTGGTATCACATTAGAATTTCTATTAGCTAACTTCCCAAATCATCAGGCGAGTTAAGCTGGGTGCAATATCTACCTAATCCATAAGAGGTCACAAATTACTTATACAGTCAGTTAGCTACAACGTAGGACCAGACACATATATGCATCGGCCAAAGTTGCCAAATCTAATTAGCACACCAAGATGAACACAAAATTCATAAAAGCGATTACTTCAATGGTGGTAATATATAAAAGGAAGATTGCATATAAGGATATAGTACAGGAAGAAAGAATTAGTTCGTAGAAAGAAAGATATGAAGCGATTTTAATCTCATAGTTTAAAGAAGAGATAGAGAGTGTATACACCTACGCCATTGTGATCGATTCCGAGACATATCACACAGTCTCCAACCATTGGTTACGATAGTCACGCGGACCCCAACCAAGTAGTTTGCACCTACCAACATGGCTCAGACTAGAAGTTAGTGACTTCAAGCACTGATGCCACGTTTTGGTTTGGCCACACCTAATTTTCTTCCAACCCTCTCCAACACCGTTTAGCATTTCACGTCGTGGTAATCGGTGTTAAGGCACACGCAACACGTGGCCCAACCATCTCAGTCGATGGAGATTTACAACCTCATGAACTGATTTATCATCATTCTCTAATACCCTGTGTCTAACATCACCATTACTTACTCGGTGATCCCAGCAGATGCGAGCAATATCTCTAAGGCATCAGTGGTTAAATACTAGTAGCTTACGAGTATCTTCTACTCTTAATGGCCATATTTCGCTGCCGTAAATTAAAACTGAACGGACTGCCGCGCAGTATACTCGTCCTTTTATTGATAGACGGATATCTCGCCTACGCCATAGGTGGCGCAAGTTGGCAAAAGCCAATCGAGCTTTTCGAATCCGTGCTGAGATTTCGTCCGATACCAACCCATTAGGGCTGATCACACTTCCAAGATAAGTGAAGTTGTCAACGCGTTCGACTGCTTCATTCCCTATCCTTAGTTCAGGTGTTGACGCAGGCCAGTCCTGAAGCAACAACTTGCATTTAGAGGGGGAGAAGCGTATCCCAAACATTCTGGTATTGTTTCTCAGTGCTATCAAGACTCTGAATTTTATCAGCGTCTTCACCACACAGGACAATATCATCTGCGTATTCTAAGTCGATAAGTAGACCCCCTGGTAGGAGATCGATGCCCAAAAATTCAGTCGAGAGCGTCGCTTATACAGTATACTACAGTCGTAAGAACAATGAACACACTGGTTTCAAACTACGACTTTTTCATAATGAAATAAATTAGGGATTTTTGTATTGTATATAAACCTTTCCAATATATTTGAATATCAGTTAGAATTGCTGATAACCTAAAAGTAGGAGAAAATTGATCGCTTCAGTGAATTAGTCATACATAAGTTGCGACGAGCGCAAAATAACGTCGATAAGAGTCGTGCTATAATTAATCACTTTTCAGGTAATCGGGCAATGATCTTAATGCAATGAGCACACATATTGTATATGAAATATGAGGAAATTATTTCAAAGGAGAATAAGAGTGAATCTACAATGAACCATAATATGATGCCTTCAACTGGTTTGGTGAGCAAGAGCACTACCAATTGAGGATACTATGAGACAATGGTTGGAAATCAATTCGGACAGTGGGAAAGTACGCTACATAGTTTTTCGAGATTTAAAAAACACTACTATTCTATATTTGTCTCGTTTTCTCAAAGTTTATTTTGACGCCGCAATATTCTGATGATTTTCTCTCGGTAAGCAGTACATTAAACAAGGTTTTATTTAGTTTACATCAAGTTATCAGTCTGTGCTGACTTCTAACTCGAGTCCATTTAGGGAAAACCATGAAGGGCAGAAAAGCCAAAAATTATTTACTGTCTACAGATAATCAAACTTTGCCTATACGAAATAATTTTCACCACTGAAGATACTAAAGGTCATACACTGTCTTAGAGCTTTTTTGATGGAACGTATAAAATACTCCTGATAGTTTATATAAATGAGTGGGAATGAAAAACTTTATCCAGAAAACAATATGCATAAAAATCCTAATTTTGGGAGTTACATCAATAGCTAGTATTGAACAGGGAGATCAGGTCATATAGTTTTATAAAATGAGTTCAGTCATATCAGAAACCTTTAGATATTTTTACTCAAACCGATCAATTTAAGGACGTGATTAATCTGAATAAAATTTACATTAAGGAAGGAGCGCTGCAGTTCAATAAAAAGTGGACGGAACTTTTCATTTGAACCTTGTTATTCGCAGTCACACCTGATTTCTATTATAGTCAATTTCGAATAAAAAACTCCCAGTTAGGTTGAGAAATAAGCGGATAGAGCACAGTGCTGAAAAGTCTTAAATTAAGATAGAAAGTTTTTAATGTACATTAGTTTCAAAGAGATTACGCATATAAATTGGTCATATGTTTGAACAGTCTGCTTTTTCTGGATAATTCACAGAAAATGTAACACATAAACTACCAAGATAAGTTTCATTCGTTATGGGCGTCATGTCCATAATTCATACTCATGAAAAATACTGTGTTAAAATACAACGAAATGCAAGAAAAATATTTCATCGGCTTAAATAAAAGTTTATTGAAGGACTGAAAGATACGCGTAATAGTTTAGCCAACATAAACTTACTTTTATGAGCTCATCTTTATCGTCCTCTAAGGCCGACTTATCATTATATCGTCCACGATTAATAGCCATATCAGCATCTGCCGTAAATGGACTATCAATTACACTATCGTTGAAAGCTCCTCCTTTGATTAAACTTTTACCCTGTTGAACAGCCGCTGTTTGTTCCTATGAGAAAAGTTAATAAAAACTTGTTTAGTGATATAAAAAGATTTTTAGCGAAAAATAAATATAGTGAAAAATATAATAATATGAAGATACATTCAAGCACATTAATTTTACTGTGGACTGAATTAAAAGATTAGACAAACCAAATTGATAAGGTAGCACATTATTTCTTGTTGTCTGGCAAATTAGTGCTTAACTTTAATTCTAAAAAAACCTTTAATGAACAGATTAGACGAACTATGGCTATCAATGAAATCCTGGACGCGCATTTCGTCACTTTTGAAACTCATGAAAGGGATGCATCAACGAGTTAATTTAAGCATTCCCAAATAAAGATATGAACTTTCAATTAATCCTTACCGAAATCTAGTTACTTGGGCGGTGAAATAATGAAGGACTTTTAAAAATCATCAAAACGAGAGAAAAGTTGGACCCACTTCAAGTCTGGGAAGAATTTCTGAATTGTTCAACTAACTCTTTTGCTGAGAAATAAATCAGTTTGGTGGGACTGCATACCACTGATGAATAAATGACAGTGATTGTGAAAAAACTGACAGAGTCACAAAGGACAAAGTCATGCACATACGTAATTTGTGATTTCTGACGCTAAACCAAAGTTATTACGCATTCCTTCTGGCTAAAAAGTATTTTAACGGTAAGAGGATAATTATAATAAAGTGAGAGATCCGTTTATGATTTCTAAAAATCAAATTAGAAGATCTGATAGTGTCTCACATTTAAAAAATGCACTTCGATTTACTACCTGGTGGCTTCAAAGATGAAAATGAAGCTAAAGAAGCAATGGACAACTGGAGAAAAGTCATTACAAATGTTCAATACAGCCTTCCTTCGAAATACTGACCAACTCAACGAATTCAAGACAGCTCTCAACAACAGGTTCCAAGCATTACAAGATCTACTCAAAGAAGAGGAAACTACTATGGAGGACAACTGGAAAGGTGTTAAAGAAGCATTAACTTCAACGTGTCAGGAAGTGCTGGGACGCAAAAAGCATCATCGTAAGGAATGGATCTCTATCGAAACCCTGGACAAAATTAGAGAAGGGAAGAACATGAAGACAACACTTAGCAACAGCCGAACGCGAACAGAGAAAATCAAGGCACACTATGAATGCACAGAACCAAACTAGCGAGTGAAGAAGAGCATCAGAGCCGACAAGCAGAAATACGTGGAAGGCCTAGCAATGGTAGAGGAATAAGCTGAAGAAGGAAATCTGAGACAAATATACAATACAACGAAGAAACTGGTAGGGAAATATGGTAAACCAGAGAGGCCGGTCAAGGACAAAGAAGGCAAACAAATCACCGAGATCCAAGGACAGTGGAACAAGTGGGCAGACCACTTGGAAGAACTCGTGAGTAGACCGGTCCCAATGAACCTATCGGACATCGAAGCAGCATACACTAACCTCCCTGTAGATATTACTCCATCAACAAGCGAAGAAATCACGATGGCCATCAGACAAATCAACAATGAGAAAGCAGCACGACCTGACAACATACCAAACGAAGTGTTGAAGTTAAACACAAGGTTGACTGCAAAGATGCTCCACATTCTCTCCAGAAAGAACTGCGAAGAACAAGCACCACAAACAGACTGGAAAGAAGCACACCTCATCAAAATACCAGGGAAAGGAGATCTCAACAAATGTGGGAACTACACAGGCATCACATTACTATCGGTACTAGCAAACGTTTTCAACAGACTGATGCTTAACCAGATAAAATATTCAATGGACGCCAAACATCCAGATTAACAGACCGGATCCCATGAGGATCGGTCATGCACAGACCACATCGCGACAATACGGATCATCGTTGAACAATCAATTGAATGGAACTCGTCACTACACAACATCCTTGACTATCAGACAGCATTCGCCAGTGTGGATAGGAGAACCTAATCGAACACTCTTCGACACTATGGAGTGAGTAGCTGAGAACATCGTCAACATTATACGGGATTCATACGACGGATTGCACTGCAAAGTCATGCATGGAGGACAGAAAGATCACATATGAATTTCAAGTGATGACTGGTATCAGACAGGGCTGTTCTGTCTCCCCCTTTCTCTTCTGTTTTACGAAGACCTCTACATCAGAGGTGAAGCATCGAATACAATGAACAGGTTGGATGCAACTAGACCATTTGGACTTCTCAAATGACCTAAATCTTCTATCCCATATACACCAACAAATTCAGGTGAAGACAGTATGGTGGCAGTCACAACACACACAAGAGATAAAGCAAGGTCTTGAAATATCTTGAGGTAAGATTTCGCTGTATTGCGGAGAGTGATGAAGGCAGTTACTAGGGTGTGGTTAATTATGCGAAGTTATTATTAATATGTTTGTGGACAGATATTTAAAATCTTGCAAAATACCGGAGGGTGTTATCTTATCAGATGTTAACCATTCACTTCATTTTCCTAGTGTATGACAAACCGTTTACTGGTTACATTTTTCCATAAATGAAATGCGTATGCTACAGTTTTAGTTATATGGCGGATAGCATTTATTTTAACATATTTACGATTTTACTTGGTTTCTCCTTGATACTTGTCTAGTCATATATTGGGAATCATTTTAAATCATTAAACGGTTGAAAACTAAAGTGATCATGAGCATTGGTTTCCTCAGGATTGCAAGCACACTTTGCTGATAGATAAAAAGTATGGAGTTCGAGTTCAGATATCCGAAGTCGGATATTTTTTGTTGCTATTAAACCGAACGAACTAGGTTAAACTATCTTGACATAGTTCTAAAAGCTGCATAAATGATGATCATGAACAAACATAAGTCTTCACAACAGCACCCGTTTGAAACATGTTTTGAATTGTTAAATAAAGTCAACCGTAAATTTCTAACGGTAACTTTTAGCGATGCGCTGTGATAATGTGTGAATTTTTGTTGCTTATTTAGTAAAAAAAGACATCAAATTTAATGCTATTAAAAGATGAAAGCTTTTGTACGGCTTAGGCAGTACGCTCAATATAAACTTAGTAAGGTAAAACTATGTATTTAAGGAGTGTGCTTGAAACTTTGTTTGACCATAACAGTTTTTATACACAGAAACCATCTCTGAAAAATCGTAAAATAGAAGTAAAGTAATGCATGTTGACTAATGTACAGTAAACTTACAATTGGTATCATCTGCATTAATTTAGGGATCTCCTGAGTTAACATAACGTCGACTTGTTCAATAAGCCTTTCTTTAAGAGAGGGGAAGTTTGTAAAATCCTGTTCACTCAAAATACTCTGCATATGAGAGAGTTTAGGGAAGTCACCAGGAGATACATGGTGTAAACGTGAAATAGAATCATATATCTGCTGTAAATTGTTAATAAGTTCTTGCTTCTTTTTGTTTTTCCCAACGATTGAAGGCATCTGTTTCTTAAGATGACCAATTATGTAGGCATGTACCTAGGTAAGATCAGAAGGATAGTTACTCGTCGTTAGTAAAATATATGAAGGTAGACATTCTCTACAGTTCAGTTTAGTCGTATGCAGAATCAGCTTTTACCAGTAAACGCATACATATTCCTCTACGAGCTGTTAATTACAATTACCAATCGAGGGTCCAAAGTAATGACCTATTCACCAAGCCCTAAAAGACCAAACGGGGTTTGGACCTTATAAACTATCTAATATTAAACCCTGTATACGAAAGTACACAGCACGAAGTTACACCTTAACAGTTTAAGAAACTAACCGCTAAATTGTACTCGAAACTGGTTTTATCTACTTTAAGTTAGACACCTGTAGCTTTCAAAGAATGTAGACCTGTCTCGTTACATCATTTATCTTAATAAAAGTATATTCTGTGTAATTTTTCAGTATTTAATCTACGTATCTCACTCTGTTAAAAAGTTTATTTTGTCTTGTTTAGTGTCTATGCTCTCTTTTTCGAAAATATATCCCACTAGTTTCTTTGTAGATTGCTTTGACTGATTCTGAATTGCACTAAATGAGTCAAGTGGAAGTAAGGTTTTTAAACATAATCTGCTTATGCCTTCAACGAGGTGGGAAAACATCGAAAGTTTATAACCTGATAGTTTACATTGGTTCACATTGCACAAATCCATATCAGGTCAATGAAGGTATATCAGCACGAATAAAAAGTGAAAGTAACAAAGCCAATAGTTATAAAAAAACCAAAAAAAATAGGTCAATAAATTGATGGAACAGGTAGATAAAAGTAGGAATTGATACTACGTCAAGCAACTAGGTTATAAAAAATGGACATATGTAAGCCAGCGATATTAGTATTTTAGATATGGAACCTGAAGTTTTCAAATACAGACTTGCGGAGTTCCGTTTTTTGAGCTGGGTGGTTATATGTACATCTTTCTGTACAGCAACCAATAAAATTTCAGAACTTAGTAGGTCTATTTTGCCATGGTTTGGGTGCCCTTACCAATATTTTTATCTATTACTACGGGAACCAGTATAATGCACCGGAGTTAGTGTATTTGAATGAAACGTGTTACAAGCACATTAGTGAAGGTTCGGAACATGATTTATTTATTTGGACACATATTGGTACAAAGGGGTACCAGATATATATGCGCCACACCGGAACAAATGATGATTTCAACATACGCAAGCAACGCTTTGAGGATACTTAATATCGTATACTAGCAACTCAACCAATTCTTTTACCTTCAAAACCATATTTCACAATTGTAAGGAAATACATATAGTATTACTTTAAGGTTTACTTGCTTTTTATGACAAGTCGTGTAAATCAGTTGTTATAAACAACCGAGATGGTACGTTACACTTTAATTCGATAAAGACCACTACTGTCTTGACCAGCATAAAAGCTGAAGTACCAGGGTGCTATTTGGTTAAGTCAAAGATCATCAAGACTTGGGACCAACTGCCTGAATTTCTAGTAAAACGTAGAGTTTATAATGGGTAAGTAAAGGATAGAAACCTTGAAATTGTTGCAGTTTTCTTGTGTTTCTAGTGGCCCAGTAAACGGAAGAAAGAACTTGAATCAGAAATAGCGTGTTACTTATTCCGATTTAGAATGACGTCTTTTCATTTAATTCTGCTTAAAGTAGATTTAAAGGTGCTTGCTATTGTGCGGTTCAATTACCCAACAAGAGAATATGTATGAACCAAAGACCTAACGAACGCTAAATCTATATTTTATTGCAGCACCCTAACGTCCACAACAAAAACGCATTTGGAAACCAACATAAACAAAAGCTGATTGATACAACAAAATAATGAACATCAAACTTACTTTAGCTAGCCTTGCTCGTCGTATCATATCATTTAGTTTCCGCATGGCCGCGTTAGAAGGCAAACTTCGAAGGTCTTTAAATAAATCCTGTGACTCCAACTCAAATAAGTGACGGTTAACGTCATATCGCAGTGGTCGGTCCCAAAATGACCCGATAAATACTCTAACAACCTCCGGAGTCCCTAATACTTTACCAAGACCCCACATTAATGCTCCGTAAACGCGCATCAATTGTTGTGCATCAATCATATCAGCTTTATTAAGAACAATACGGACTTTGTCGTCATAACCTCTGAGAGATTCTATCACTCGCCTAAACTCGTCTGATATATCGAGTTTATAAGCGTCGAAAAGTAGGATTATTCTGTCAACATGTTCTGCAAACCACTGAACAACAGCTGTGAAGTCATAACCACGATCTAACCTCTGTTTTTCACCACTTAATATACCAGGTGTATCAATAATGACTATGCTGTCCAGAACAGGATTCCGGATTTGGCAACATTGAAAGCGGTTCAGAAAATTATTTCCGAATTTTGAAAGAGGGCGAAAAGGTTTTTGGGCGTCGACAACAAGAGCATTCCCAGGAATAATGCCTTCATCCCCAGACATAACAACACTAAATCTGTCGGTTGTCGGCTCTGGGCCAATATGCATACCCGGGAAGGCGGATCCTAGAAGGTATTTGATAAACGTGGTTTTGCCTGTAGAATACTGACCCAAAAGAAGAATCATTGGCTTGGAACTAAATTCTCCTGCATCAAGTGTTGGTGAATGAAACTGTGGGAACAAATATGTCACTTCCAAAGGCTTCAGTCTTCTGTCGTAAAGATCTCTTAACCCCTCCACTACACTAGAAAAATTCCAGTTTTCTTCCTTGGTTTGGGAGAATTTCATTTCTGGAATTCAAATATTTAGTATAAGTGTAGCGAGTAACTCGATCAGTTGGCTGGAATTGCCGTTGGATTAAATCCCTCGATGAAATAAGTGTATATTCTCAGCTCAGTCTACTTCCAACTAACTGCGACTAACCGTCTAAATGTACTGATCCAACCAAATAACCAATAATTCCAAATCAATGGTAGTCCCGATCTACAGTGTTGTTGATGTTACACCGCAAACCTTTAACCTTAGCGCTAGAGTAACGTTTGAATGAAGTGCCATATAAAGTGTTGATCACTTAACCAAAATCTGAAGGGACTTTCTTAAACTTCAGAACTTTATTTCACAGAACATACGAATTATTTTAACTTTGAAACATACTTCTGTGCGGTAGAGAAGTTCTATTGTTAGTGGAAATATGCCGTCACTGTAACGTTATTTCTTTAACTGAAGAGTAAAACAGTTTAGTCAATGATAGTATCAGCGATTGAAAGGTAGTGTCTAGAATAATAACTAAGGAAACGAGATAGCTTTTGAGCATTTTTAGAAAGACTCTGGAAAAGATCTTATTGCTTTGGTTTTCACTGAATCATCTGATATCATTCGGTGATAGAAATTACTTCCGAACTGTACAATTTTCTGTAATTCTTTAATTTATCTTGTATAACGTTGAGTTATTTGAATAAGTCGTAGGCTAACCTTCAGATACCAACTTTCGTATTGAGATTATGTTGATGTTTCTTCACATCTTCGGTATGCGCTTTATTGATAAGGATTCGTTAAAGGTACTCAAGATCGGATAATACAGGGTCAGTACACTTTTGAAGACAGCATGACTAAGATTTCATCAGATTCTTAACATTGGAATGGGTTAAGTGACTAAATACGTTTTTGTATGTCAGCTTCAGTGAAAATTGTAACACAACTTGTAACGGTAACAACATGCTGAAAGTACCTACAAAGTGTTTTGTTGAATATTATTTTTAATTCATTGGTCTTTTTCCCTGTCTTATAATTTATCCCCAACTCGGTTTTCTTTTCTTTCCTTCAGCCTGCTTTGTTGAAACTATTATTATTTGACTTTGGCTCAAGATTTACTCTTATTACTTAATTTCACTGTCGTATGATGATGGGCCATTGTTTAGGTCTTGTTCGGCCAAACCCGAGGTACAGAGTGGGTTAAGTGATGACTGCCGACCTTTGACTGTGCTGGGAACGGTTACTGGAATACCTAAGGTTGGATATTTGACCCGATCTTATCTAGAATTTCGGCCTTCACATGGCTCTTCTTCGAACTTGGATATATTCGAAGCATGACTTCAGATGATCGATGCACAAAAGACTTATTTAAGTCACAAACATCCATCTGGTTTTCGTCATTGACGCAACTCCTCCATATGGTTTCCGCATACTTTAAGTGTTTTTACTAGATAGGATTTATTGAGTGAAGATCGAGCCGTGACGTTTGGTTTGTTAGACCATTTTGCCTTCGAACTTTATTGGGCTGAGTTTTTTAAGTCTTGCTCACCAATGCAGATCACTAATGTTGGCTATGGATCTGCTTATATAGAACGGAGAAGGTTTGACCTCTTGGCTTATACTGTAGTCACAACTTGTAATCAATATCTAACTTCTTTTGTCTTTTCGTGACAACCACACAGAATAAACCTTTTTGCTTAATGGCCGCTGACCAGTAGGCATTGATGGTGAGGGCGACAACTTTAACCCACCCTTATTTGTGGGGCAGAACATTCTGTTCGTATCAGGCTCTTTATGATTGGGAGCGAGTTAATCAGTCAGTGTTATTGAGGTTGTTCTCCTATACTCATCATTCAGACTCAAGTTTCTAACATTATGTTGGATTAGCTATTCTACCAAGAGAAACAATAACATGCTTACTCGTACTTTTACATTAGGATGTAGTGGCTGGCATCAGATGAAAAGAAAATTCGAAAAGTCAAACGATGAAATATATAGTTATCGGTGTTTCTTAAAATTTTCTCTCTTGATGCACTTTTGATTCAAATAAACAGCTTTCTTTATTTCAACTTTGACATTCTTTCTATCACTTGAGCTTACTCCACCCTGTTACATATCACAATTCATCGTTCTTTGTTACTGCATTCCCTTATCTGAGGGCTCTAGCCACATTTAACTCTAACGGCAGGAACTAGTATGAATTCGATCTACTTATTTATCACGCCTTTGTCTTGCGACTGTAGCAACACTCCTACGGTTAATTCCGATTATGGTCAACCTTTGTCGGGCCCATTTATCTGCTTATTTAACAGAGTATGGTGTTCGTACGATAACAGTTCGTTTACTTCTTGGTATCATTATGATCACTATCATGTCCGTATAAACGTGCACCCTTGATCACATGTGATAGCCTACGCAAATATCTCTCTAGCTTAAATATTAATATCTTAAATGTCGCTTGATGGATCATCCTCTTTCCAATGCATGTGCTCGAATCCTGTTAATAGTCTTTGCCGTGCCTAGCTGCGCCCTGATTCGATTTGACTATAAATTTGCCTCTGTATTTGCTCGCTCACACACTAACCTTCCTGCTCCAAAGTTGCTCGATTTGCGTGTAACTGTTATAAGTGCAATTCGCTAACGAACTGCAGTCTCAGCTTCTTTTTACCTAGTGATTTCAAACACAATCGGGGATTTATATAATAACAGTTATCAAGGTGATTGATTAATGAAGCTGCACAACTACAAACTATCAAGCATTATTTAGCCAGTACATTCAATGAGCCCTTTTTTCAGCATCACGCTCCGAGGACACAGCTGTGGAGCTTCTGACATCCGAAACAATCTTGGTGTACGCGTTCTTCAAGGTCACAGCCCGTACCAAGTGCTATTTAAAATCACTTCAAGATAATTACGAACTGAAAAAGTTGAATCTCATGAATGCTTAGCCCGACCGGAATTTTTACACAATAATGCTGTTTTTGAACGCAATGTGCAATATGGACGCAATGCCGATTTTGAAAAATATTATAAAATCTGCACTCAGTGTGGTGCTAAAACCTAATCATTAACTCTTTGAGACGTCTGCGCAAATGTACCGTCTTCCATTTTTTATTATTTTAATTTATTTAACAGCCCTACTTGAGAGACACTGTAAGCAAACCAATGTTACAACGTATAGACCTAGCCTGCAAAAATGTCGTGCACCTGGCCTGGAAGAAAAATATAGTAATAACTCAATACAACTTAAATACCATCCTTAAAAATGATGCACTGTGCGACTTCTCCAGTTAGTTTGATGATAATAAGTCAATTGAGTGAGTGTAAGACATGTGATTATCAAGTAGAGCATATTTTTTTTAACTAGGGGGAGTATAACTCTCAAACCATTCCTGTCTAATTGGCACGAACCTTTAGTCGGTGTTTGTGTAAATACTAAAATGATGTTTTCAGTTTGCAGGAGATCTGCTCGACTGCCTACACTAGTAATTTGCACAAATGACTATTGCTAAACCTCTAATCAAACTGATAAATTTCCATAGCACTTACTATGGAACCAACTGGTAAGAAAAACATTTTTTTGAAAACATCAGTGTTTGACAAAGATAACTTTAGGAAAACTGCACTATTTGTAGAAATAGTTATCGGTCAGATTATTGCTTAGATCATCGATATTATATGATTGTGCAATCGTAACAAGACTTTGTGATGTCGAAAAACCATTCTGAATAACTACTTATAGAATTGATTTAACATTTGCTATGGAAAATATAGGTAGTTCTGTATCGCATGCTGAGTGTGTTCACGTTTATTGTTTAGGAAATATCTGCAATTAAAAACAATTAAAAAATGGTTTGAATAACGCCGGTGGATCTGAGTTACCTGATCACATTTCGAACTACGTTGCAGAAACATTCGTCGATTTTTTGCATAACCTTTATAAGTATGTAAAATCAACGATGAGGACCACTAGCAAGCGAACTATGTTTGATATAAAATACTTCGTCCTTAAACCACTTTTTCATAGTAGTATGTTGTCATTTGAGGTGATGTTGTAGTGATATAATATATGTATGACTAGTGTAAATTAGTATAAAATATTGTACGCTATAAAATGCTATGAATATAATAGATCATTTATTGAACGAGTAAAACTTGTCTGGCAGTCTTGGAGTTGCCCTGAGGATTAGTTCTGCTGCTAAATGCTTGGAATCACTTTCGACGGCTGTTCTTATTACCAACATATATTGCGGAACGATTTTTGTCTACTGAGTCGGGTTTGAGTGTAATATTAAGGCAACTTTCAACTGATGATGGAAATATTCTACCATCCCATAAACATGAGGACGATGGACTGTGCAATGTATTCTGGTAGATAAGTTGTTAAACAGCTCAAATTCAAATTAGATTTCTCTATCGGTCGTTAGTGAATAGGTTTACCAAGAATGTTCGAATAGTTCCAAGTCAAAGCTTTGTCCTCTGTTTCAGATGTGATATCGGTTATCGATATGACTATTGGAAACCTCGTAAGTCTGTTTATACACGTAAATATGTAATCAAAGCAATCAGAAAGTGGTAGAAGACCTACAAAATCGATATGAACGTGGGGAAAATATGCATCTATTCGTGGGAAAACTCCGATAGGTGAGTTCGTATGACAGTTAACCTTTGATTGGTGATAAACCTCACGCTCTCTGATTTCACCTTTTTTGTAAATGACCACAAGTGTCCAGCATAAATTAGTTTGTTGGCAGCTTTCAAGTTATTAAAAATAAATTTTCTCACTTTTTTGGGAAAAATAGTCGTGGCATCGCCTTGGGCGTATCACAGTAAATCAAACTACCTGCCACATCTTAGGGTCGTCACTGCCCCACTAGGGGGGGAGTGATCTGTAGCGGTAAATAAATCCCCAAAATAAATAGCTCTAAGTTTTTCGACATTGGATGCTGACCATATGTTTTAGTGGACTCATCTAGCTGAAGGCGCTCGGTCAGGCATCCGCACCAGATCACGTGTGGTAACGCCGTGCTCAACATCTACCGCAATGGCTAGCCAGATTAGATCAGAGAATTCCGATATATTGGTAATCGCCAAATACACTCTTCCGATCTCCTCGACTCTGTCTTTTGATTTCATAGTAGTATGTTGTCATTTGAGGTGATGTTGTAGTGATATAATATATGTATGACTAGTGTAAATTAGTATAAAATATTGTACGCTATAAAATGCTATGAATATAATAGATCATTTATTGAACGAGTAAAACTTGTCTGGCAGTCT